TCATCACGTCACCTGCCTAAAGGCGTGATTAGAGGTGGCTTCAGCCAGGACACGCAGGGGCGTGGTTCCCATACATGATGTTGTACCGAGTGAATTGACTGAAAGGGAACTCCCTAAAACAAATGCAATGCAAGACTTGCACAAGAATTGCAGAACTTTAGTGGGACTACAATGTCTCAACTCAGTGTTTCCCCTAGGAAACTAGTCTTGGCGGGGGTGGGGGTACTTGTGTTATGAAAACATGAATTTAAGCAACTCACCTTCAATTATGGTAATAAATTTACACATACATGAATATTTAATTGCCTAACTACATCCTAAAGTTAAGGACTCCTCATGATAATTATTAATATTAATTTATCATTGCAAATTATTATTGATATTAAGTGATCAGAACTGTGTGCAGCAGATGATCTGAGACCAGAGTTCTCAGTTTGAAACCTTCTGGAGCTCTTCTGTGTGACTCTAGGTGTGACAGAGTGTGGATGATTGATTGTCTCTTTTGTGACCCTGATGGAGACTGGAGACCTGTCCAGGTGTCTCTGGTGAACTGGAGACCTGTCCAGGTGTCCCTTCACCCAAATGCAGCGAGGACAGGTTCCAGCCCCACCCTGACCCTGATTAGGAACAAGGAGGACAAGGAGGGTTTTTCTTTATAGCAGGAAACATTTAATTATAAAACATGATTTATTTTATGTTAACCTGAATCAGTTTAGTGTTGATTGCATGTTTTGCAAAACTGTGTAAGATAGCTAATTATTATAGAGCAAAACATTATTAAATATAAAAATATTTCTTTCTGGCACACTTTTATTATTATTATTATTTCATAATTATAACACTGGCATAAATAAATGGTAAATGTAGGGTTAAAAGCATTTAACAACTGGACTGTTGCCTCGTAATGCTGGAGACAGCTACCAAAAGCCCTAAGTAAACACTCAGTGGAATCACTAATCTGACAAGTAAATGATACTGAAACACTAGAGAGCCTCTTAAGCAATCGCCAAAATATTGATGTGAAAACCCTCAACTCAACACAGAAAGCCATTACMATTCTTTAAGTGTATATTTAGTGCATGTGGCGAGCAGGGAGGTAAAACGTTAGTCAATCAGAGCCCTCCCACCTACTGCAGCTGCTACCCAAAGGCAGCCAKAGACCTCAATCTGTCAGAGCTGCCACACACAAAGCGCTCTGAGCCTTTACACCAYGGCTCTCCTCCTTCTCTGTCATTGCAACATCACGTTACAGTCAGCCATGCCGAAAAGAAAAAGAAAATTCTCTGGCCTGTTAAGCCTTTAGCTTAAATGGGCCAGCTGAGATTATAGAAGTACTCACGTCATGCTGCTGACACACCAGAACTTTACTTAAAACCAACATTAAATACAACCTTTTTTTCTTACTGTGCATTCAACATTCAATAGTTTATAGTGATGAGGGAAAAGTCACACCTCTTTAWCAAGTGCACAAAATAACTGAAGTAAATTAGAAACAAATCAGCACATAACGATCGAAAATTACCATCAACTCTGAAACATTAAAATAACCCAAGAAGCACAGCATTGCAACGTCACAAMAAAATGTCAAAAGGAAAATGTATTTTCAGCTATCATCCAAAAAGGCAATCCTTTTCTCAATTTCCCTGGAATATTTAGGTGTCAACGTGACTGGAGACAGAGCTGCAACATTTAATACCAGTCTAAATTCATTTAGCAGCGACTGTCTCAGACGCTGCCGCCTTGACATTGTCAATATGCAACATAAAATAAACGAAAAAAAAATCTAAAAACATTTTTTTCTAAATTGTGAATAGATTGTCTTATTTTTCTAATAATAATATACAGCACTTTTCTACAAACTCAAAGATGCTTTATAATTTTCACTCATTATTTCATACACACATTCACACACTGATGCCACAGCTGCCCTGGGACAGAGTGACAGAGTCGGGGCTGCTATGAACCAATGCCACCAGCCCCAATGACCACCTCTGGCAGGGAAGGYGGGTAAAGTGTCCCTGGTTACAGGACAACTCTCCCCAACCACTCAGCCACAGCCGCCCCAATTTCTGTGTGGATATTTAGCTTTCCATTACTCATCATCAAGGTGGAGTGTGATAACATAAAGCATACTGTGAAAACAATACCCGGGCAGCAGATGGCCTGTAAAAACCACATGGAGCTACAGACAAAGGCTCCTGTTTTCGTTCTGCCTCACAAACATACAGATAACATGTGGACGGAGAAAAAGCAAATGTGTGGAGAAAGAAAGCAGTAGGCGATGTGAAGAACCTCAGCCAAGGGTTTTGCTTTTCTGCCAATTTTTCAAGCATTTAACTGAACATAACTGAAGCAAAAAGTATCTAAATTAACTTCGTCACCCATTCGTCTAGCAACTAATTTACATTAAAACCACAGATGACAAATGGGCAGGATTTCAAAAYGTATTTTTCTTTTCTTTTTTTTTATTGGATTGGTGGTGTTTACCTAAATTCTAATGTTTTGTTTGTATGAATGAACAGATAAGATTGTTGACTCACTGTCAATGTATTGAAAAGGGTCATTTTGTATGAGTAAATATCCAACACAACACCTAAAATAGTATGAACTTTTGTCTGTCCTGATCTTGTTCTAATGTTCAACGAGTGTGTTTATTTGGCTTTTCAGAGTGTATTTTTCAGAGCCAGAGTGTTAATACTTCTAGTGTGCTTATCTTTTATTCTCTAATTGTTTTTAATTGAACAATTACAGCTTTAATAACAGTAATTTTCGTCATCAATAAAGTATTTTGATTCTGATGTTAACTTGAAACATGATCTGTGTACATTTGAAAATGAAACCTTAGACTTTACCTTTGGGTGGCACGGGAGAGTCCAGCTCGTTGAGTTAGCCTCTGACTGCAACAATCCACCAACCTCTTGAGAATATATAAGCATTCCCTAAAAGTGGTGAAGAAGGGGTAATGGCTGAGTATGCACAGTGAGGTCAGTGTGCTGTTGCGGTTCCTTGCTGCCACCTTAGCACCACTCCGTCTTTGCTGTGGCGAYTTGCCAGAGATTTGTTCAGCACCTGGCTGCCCATCTTCCTCCTCAGAGGCAGGAGCAGGTGCTGTCTCACAGTTGTTGGGCACTGACAGCACAGTGGCTTCGCCTCCACCGCTGCCATCAGACACTTCTTTAGTGGTCTCCGCTGCCTGTGCAGTATCCGTGCGACAAGTCTTGTCTCCTCGAGCACGGTGATGGCCGCGTTGAAAAGATCGGTAGAAGTTGACGCAGATTCCATAACGGGTGATTCCTGAGTCCTTGTCGGTCAGAGTGAAAACAAACGAGGAGTCGTCACGTAGGCTGACCCGGCGCTGGCGTATACTCAGACAGCCCTCTGGTTGGCAGAAGAACACCACATCTGGTGGAAGTGGGAAGTCTTGATGGTCTTCCAAGGGGTAGCGACGGAGGAGTTGGGGGGTCTGGGCCACACTGTCACTACTTGGTTGTCTAAGAAGCAAATAAACATTTGCTTGGATTTACAAAAAGCAAATAGTTGTAAAACTTTACATTGTTCAACAATTTTGGGTTATTTGTAAAATGTTTAACTCATGTTCATCAGCAAATCATTTTCTGACTTTGCATTATGGTATTCATAAAACCAGTAGGACAATAATCAAATCAAACTGGAGCCAGATTTTATACTTACCTTGCTCCAACCACTACCAAGTAGTCGAGAAGACGTGGACATATTTTCTTTTTCTCCATCTTGGATTATCCAAATCCTGTATGCCAAGACATCCAGGATATATGTTCTCTCTTGTGTCAGTGGTGTCTATCCATCACCACAGGAATTAAGTAGAAACATGGGTCCTTGATAGTCATTACTGTGATTTTGAAACAGACCTGTAACACAAAATCAGAAAATGATGATGACATGTTTATTTTTATTTTCTTTTTTTCACAACTATCACAAATACACTGCYAAACCATTTCAGAAGCAAACTTTAAAGGAGAAACATCATGTTTTTAAATCATTCTTTTTCACATTTAAACCATTCAGTTGGGTCTGTATAAAGCGGAACTGCATTGCTTTGGTCTGAATTCCTCCTTATTCTAACTCCATAAGCCCCTCTTTCACCCCTTTTCTGAGGTGTGTCTGAAAACAGCTCATTTTGAGACTGTATCTTTAAGTACAAAAGTAGCACTTAACTCCCTCCCCATCTTCCAGACTGATCCACTCTAGTTTGATGGAGGGATTTACATCTATATAGCAGAATACAAACTTCTCATTTACAAATTAATTAAAATATCAACAAGGAAATACTTTAAAAACATTGAAAAAAAGAACAAAAAGAAAGAAGGTAAGGTTTCAAGTAATTTTAGTGCCATTAGAAGGTTTGTTATAGGTCACAGAAGACAGCTGTAACATATTTTTACTTTGCTGAAAATGAATTAGAATTGCAGGTAGGTATTGGGGTGTTAACCCGAAGGTTATCAGATGGATTTACATGAACATAGACCAACCCATGCTAAGCTATGCTGCTTTAGTGTGGTGGGTTCAACTTGAAGTTAGGGTAGCAACAGTGATGCTCACCCATGTGTAACGAATGGCCTGCGTGAGCATCACAGGTTTCATCAGAACAACACCCACGGCAGMCATGGAAGTCCTACTGGACCTGGCTCCACTAGATTTACATATCTTATGGGAGGCCGCATCCCATGAGGTAAGGTTATCTGGTAGGTGGAAAAGCCTATCTGACTCACAGCACACTGGAATCTGAGACTGAGCAGTTGCTACTGTCCCAGTAACTGCAGGACCTGGAGACAGAATGGTCAAAAAATACAACGTTGAGCCAAGCTTTAAAACAGAGATTGAAGATAGATCTGCCTGGAGTAACTTTCCTATGGTGGACATAGAAAAGTTGGATCAGATGGTTTCACAGATGGAAGGGGTCAGTAGGTGCAGGGGTGCTGATTTTTGACTTAGTAAGAGAGAGTACCCACTAGGTAGTTTTGCAAATGTATCTCAAGCAGAGATATATGCTATCCACCAGTGTGTGGCGTCTCTCAAATACCTTCAGTGTACACAGAATGAAATATTCTTCCTAACAGATAGCCAAGCTGCTATTGAAGTTCTCCAAGGGCCACACTTACTTACTGGCTTGGGATTGTGATGAAGCAGTCAACCAACTAGGGAAAGATAACACTGTTACTGTTAATTGGGTACCATGACATACTGGCATTAATGGTAATGAGAGAGGTGACTACCTTGCAAAAGCTGGCAGTCAGGCCCACTTCAAAGGACCAGATCCTGTTGTAGGCATTTCAACAACAGTCTGTAGGACTGCCCTACGGGCCTGGGTTAGATGTCAACACTCGGAAATGACTGACTGTAGACAGGCACRRGAACTGATAAATAGCCCAAAACTTAGTTTTGGGAAAAGCTCTCATTGTCCTGACAAGGAAAACTTGGAGTTCTAAATGGGCACAACTTGCTCAACCACCACAAAATTGTGACAATGACAATGGTCTGTGTGATACCTGTGGCGTAGGGCTGCGCGGTATATGCGGTAGATGGTAGAAACTAGGGATGTCCTGATCCAGATTTTTTGGCTCCCGATACAATCAGATTATTTTGATGATTAGAYTTTCTGATACCGATCCGATACCGATCTGATAGCTTTATTTCTTTAATTCTTTCCAAGTGACAAGGTTGGTAGTATTAAAACGAGCCCTGCAGTTCCCACCACGAGAAACATCCAGTTTGCAGATTTTGCAAGATGCAGTTTCAGCATCATTGTTTTCCATTGAAAAGTGTTCCYACAKTATGGACATGCTTGCATACTTGTGTGCGTCTTGACTTCTTAACGGCAGTTGTAAAGCATGATGATGCTGAAAACTGTCCCGAAAACTGAATCGGCCCGATCACGACTAAATCCGATTCTACCYGATTTTCACAAAATGGCCATATCCACCACCGATACCGATCCTGAGTATCTGATAGGGACATCCCTAGTAGAAACGGTATGAAGTTGGCCTATGGTAGAAATTTACCCTCTACCATCCTATCGTCATTACATCGTCTCACCTGTGTCAACATAGCTGCGAGTGCAGAGACAACTGAGCAGGAGTTTGAAATATAATGAAGAAATTATAGCATTTTAAAAGGTGTATAGAGAGAATAAATCCTCAAAATTTCCCCCTCCCACTGTAGAAAACTTATGTCATGTCGAGGAATCATAATCTCTCCCTTCCCTCCAGCTGCACGTCGCACAGAGTGAAGCTTTAACAACCATAGTTTTTCACATCCAGTTGTCAGAGAAAAAACTTTTTCATGTATTGTTACCCACAGAGATGATAAAAAAAAAAAGACGTGGACTTTCGTTCAGTCATAAATCCATCTTACTAATGTAAAGTCAGCTTCTGTTCTGACTGCGCAGCAGAGCAGCTGCTGATAAGTTCAGCAGGCAGAAGCTCATACGGCAGGCAGATATTAAAGCAAAACTGCTGGGTTTGATTAAGATTACAGTTTTCTGCCAAAAAAGCTCTAAAAATTACATTATCTTTACTTTTTAGGATAATTTTCTACCGCGATATATACCGTTACCGTGAAGGGATTCAATTTAGACCGTGATATGAATTTGAGGTCATACCGCCCAGCCCTACTGTGGCATTGAATAAGAGACCTCATTGAACTACTTGGGCTACTGCCTGGCTCTGATCAGTCAAACAAAGATAATTCTTGACGACCTCTTTATGAATCCTGAGAAGCTCACAACACTGAGTGTTTCTAACCTTGTGTCCTTCATCCGATGAACACAAAGGTTTGATTAAAGCTCAGAGTCTTTTTGTGGAGAGCAATGGGCCCACTTGTGAGGCCTCCACTCATGTGGGTTCTTTATCCATCCCCATTCGCCAAACCAAACCAATACTTTAAATGAAAAAAGGCAAGAGGATCATGACAATTGTCTGACATGATCACCTTTTGCTTTGTTTCTTTTTGTCTAACTACTGTATATTACGTATATCAGGGGTGTCCAATCCTGGTCCTTGAGGTTCACTATCCTGCATGTTTTATTGTTTTCTCTGCTTGAACACAGCTGAACAGAATGAATAAGTAATTAACAAGATTCAACAAAACTTGAAGAGGTAATTCAATCACTGAATCAGGTGAGCTGCAATAAAACCTGCAAGATAGTGTCACTAGAACACCAGAATTAGCCAAGCCAAGCCTATATTTATCCCCAATAGAGATACAATCTTATTTTGGAAGAAATACTCTCAAAAATGCACTGTCCATCCCAATAAAACTTTTAAAAGTATGTGTTTCAGAGTGAAGTGTTTGTTTTGTCCCCTCTACCAGGTGTCTGCTGTAGCTGGGGGATGAAAACGGCTTGCTGATATATAATCAGCTTAGGGGCCTTGGTGGAATGAGCACTATTAAGAGCATGTACTATGACCCTTAAAGCCTTTCAAGTTGTTTTTGTTGTTTTTCTTTCAGCTGATCCTTTCTGCAGGGGTCACCACAGGAAGCAAACTTGCATGAATGATTGCAAGTGTTTTACCCCAGAGACTGTTTTGATGCAACCTGGGGATTTAACCTGATTACAAGACTGTGGCACTGACCACCAAGCTAACTCAGCCCTGCTTAAAGCCTTAATAACAGCAAACTCAACAAGCATTAAAACAGGTAGATTTGAAGTCACATACAATAATCAAGAATTTCTGTCAAAGTACAGCTGCACCAGTATTTTCCAATTCTAACAAACAAAAAGCATCTTTAAAATCAAAAAGAGAAGTGCTTTTGCAACAGAGTACTTCAACACAATAACAGTTTAAGTCAAATCAATGATAAAACAAATAATAAATTAGTAAGCGATCCAGTCTCGATTAGATGACTCCTGCAGAACAGATTGGTTGCAGCTTCGCACTACAAAACGGCAGCTCAAAAAAAAAAAAACCCACTCCTTTTTAAATCTGAAAAATTGGCAGCAAAATCTGAAATCAAAACAAGTTTACATTATTCTATTTACCCAACTATGTTACATTAAAAAGAAAAATATTTTTCCAGATGTCTCCAAGAAACCAAAACTGATAAGGTCAGTTCATATCTGAATTATCATTATATGGCCAACAGCTTTTAACATAACAAACACCATATGAGGCTATGCTTCAGAAACTCCACCCTGAAACACAAACACTAAACTCAGTAGTTTTTCCACTGTACTTTACAAGCTATTATCCATAAGCACAAGTACAAGTCTCATACAAAATTGATGCATTATGCAACTAACCAAGCAAGTCAAAAGTGGGACCCAAATATACAAAAAAATGTGATATAGTTATAAAATAAATAAAATATAAAATATAACAATGAACAGGTTAAGTAGCATAAGAATTTTGACAAAAAATCCTAAAGTGCTGTGTTATGTTTTATTTCAACAATAAAAGAAAATGTGTAGCATTGCTTTTTGTTTTAGTACAAAATAGATTCAAGATTTGACGTGATTTTACATATTTCTACAATATTTTAGAATTTTGTAATGGAGTTTTTTGCTGCAGATAACGTCCCTTTATTGTGATTAGCTAAACAGCTGTGGCTTAACATGTTTTTGAGTTAGCTTTACGCCTCATACTTCAGAAGTCAGCCCAGGTCAACAGAAACAAAATTTCGAAACACTCTAAGTCAGAATTCATAAAGCAATAAACCAACAAATGGGACATTAATTAATATTCAGCATCTGTCGATTGGCCACACACATAAAATATATTACTTTAACAACCATGAGAGTGCAATGAAAAGCGTAGTCAGTCATCAGTCAAATTAATATGTCATAGCTTGACTCCACTCATTAGGAACCTAAGCTGAGTTAGACTGACTTACTAAAACATTTCTTTTTAAG